ACTTTCGTACACAAAGTACCCACATAAACATACACTGTCAACACTTCGACAAAAAATAAACACACAAAATTAAATAGGATTTTTGCAAGTCTTCTTGTTATGACCTTCTTGTTTACATCTTGTACACTGATTAGGAATAAGTCTTTTTTGTCTTCTTTCTGAACTTGAGAACCAAAAAATTTAACAACAAATCATGTATATAGACTGTCACCAAAAATAACACTGGCTTTTTCTGTACGTACACGTTGACTTGTGTACGTATACTCTACCATGGTTTTTGGTGAGTTTTCACTCCCCGACCCAGGGTTGGTTTCAGCATCAAGGCCATCCATCGTAGAAATACTATTCATGCCTCCCTTGACGGTTGTATTGAAAGACATAAACAAGTTTACACTAGGATCCCCAACACGAATCAAGAAAAATGTATCCAGGCTCATTTGATTGTCAATGTAGACAGGAGGGCGTATACGTTCTATCATCATTGACATATTTCCCGGCATCCAGTAACTTATTATTGGATGCCATTTAGTGGAGTTCAAATTGAAAACCTCACATAATGTACGTGCCAAATCCGTGTATGTCATGTTTTTCCTAACACGTAGGCACCGACCATAGCTTCCTTTCTCATGTTCAAATTTCCATTCTTCTTCTGTTAATCTCCACTCACCAACCATAATAAATACTGGAATCTCCATTAACATCATGCATCATAAATTCAGGAGAACCCCATTAAATGCAACTGAGAACAACTTTTATAGCTCCAACTACAAAAAGAATGTCCAACTACACACTTAATGCACATAGAATCTCCTCATTTAGTATTTACAACAAAATAAATATAGAATCATAATTTTCCTGAAGTTTAATATCCAATACAATTTTGTTTTCTTTCAAATCAAAATTCAAGTGTATGTAATAGCTAAAATTTATTTTTACAACTTCATTACTTACCACGTTCACTGTTTTTCTTGCCTGCAAACTTTGTTAAACAACAAAATCAAAATGGCCACAATCTCATTCGTTCATAGATATTTGTGGGAAGTTTTTTTTTTCTCTATACAAAATCTAAACAGTGTACATATATATATGATCTAAGAGCATATGCAAGGGGGGAACACTTGGTGTGTTCTTAAGGGTTTTAAAATAATAAAAATGTTGAATAGTGGATACAACTGTTCTTAAAATTATAAAAACTGTTCTTCAGGAAGAACAGTTTGCAGGATAAGTTATAACTGTTCTACCACTGTTCACCTTATTTCCTATTTTTAAATCCTAAGAACACACTCAAAAGTTCCCCCCTTGCATATGGTCTAAGAGAAATAAAATAAGATGTGATGATGAGTTTGCATTGATTATAGTTGGTATTAGTCATGTCTTTACTTTTTTAGCATTTAAACCCTTTATCACAACATATTTTAATTTTTTTAATCGGCTTTGGTACACTGTACACGCGACGGAAATAAATAAAAAACGCCTCTACTGTAGCTAACGAGATACTATGTACGTAACCAATGCGCATAACTAATTTGTTCGCTGTTACTGTACACCGGTTTTGCTGGAAGGGCAATTTCGTCCAAAAATGACATAATTGTCAAAACTTGAAAGCTCTCCCCCACTTTGTCAAAACGTGAAAGAAAAACATGGTCAATGGGCCTGCCCCGTAATTAACCCTTAATTCAATTACCCTTTTAATTATCCAATGAAATCAATACAATAAAAACACTAAGGTTTCTCTCCAGTGCTGACACATCAGTTTTTTGGAGTGTTCTGGACATGACACATCATTAAAATCATCATCCAATGAAAACATTTGGATTAATACACATCAGATTTTTTGGCCAATAATCATCTTTCTTGTTTTTTTTTTAATATTGTCTCAATTGTTTTTGGGCTCTAACATATGGGCTTAATGTTTTAGAATAGGGTTGTTGGACTTCAATTTAGGGCTTGATTGGTTCTCCCACCTAGCGGTTATTAGCGGTTGGTTGTGGTTGTTAGCGGTTGGTGCCAATCATAGAAATTGTTCCATACCGCTTCAAACCGCTCGAAATCGCTGGATTTTAAAAGCTCCTTCCCACAAGCGTTTGCGGTTGCGAACGGTTTAAAAAAGGAAAGAAACTAAAAAAGAAAAATAAACAAATTTAAATTTTTTGGCCAATAATCATCCTTCTTGCTTTTCTTAATATTGTCTCATTTGTTTTTGGGCTCTAACATATGGGCTTAATGTTTTAGAATAGGGTTGTTGGACTTCAATTTAGGACTTGATTGGTTCTCCCACCTAGCGGTTGTTAGCGGTTGGTTGCGGTTGTTAGCGGTTGATATCAATCATAGAAATTGTTCCATACCGCTTCAAACCGCTCGAAATCGCTGGATTTTAAAAGCTCCTTCCCACAAGCGTTTGCGGTTGGTTTAAAAAAGGAAAGAAACTAAAAAAGAAAAATGAACAAATTTAAATATATATTATCAAGTCTTATATATATTCACGTTAATTCTTAAAAAATAATAATTATCTAACTTTAATTTTCCAATATTAAAAATTATTTTTGTTTTCAATATAAAATTTATTTGAAGAATTATTTATGATTTTTAATCATTAATCATGTTTCAATTTTGAGAAATTGTTAAAAATGCCCCTTTTTCAATACCCCTTTTCAAAAATGCCCCATTTGAGAGTCCATTTTTAAGTTTGCCCTCTTTTAATTTTTAATGACCATTTTACCCTTATTTGAAACAAAATTAGGTCCACAAAATACAAAATATTTTTTGGCGGGAAAAGTGATCCCGCAATTTTCCCGCCAAAACACTTGTAAAAACCTTTAAAATACCTTGTAAAATTTTCCCGTAAAAATTTTTCCCGCCAAAAATTTTTTTTTGCAGGAAAAGTGATTCCGCAAATTTTTTGGCGAAATTTTTTTGGCGGGAAAAATTTACAAGGTATTTTAAAGGTTTTACAGAGTATTTACAAGTGTTTTGTAAGGTTTTTACAAAGTATTTTAAAAGGTTTTACAAGGTAATTATACCTTGTAAAACCTTATAAAAAACTTGTAAAACCTTATAACTTGTAAAACCTTATAAAATACCTTATAAAACCTTATAATATCTTATAAATACCTTATAAATACGTTGTAAAACCTTTTAAAATACATTGTAAAACCTTATAAATACCTTGTAAAAAACCTTTAAAATACCTTGTAAATTTTTCCCGCCAAAAAAATTGTGGAATCACTTTTCCCGCAAAAAAAAATTTCTGGCGGGAAAATTTTTTGGCGGGAAAAAATTTTACGGGAAAATTTTACAAGGTATTTTAAAGGTTTTACAAGTTTTTACAAGTGTTTTGGCGGGAAAAATTGCGGGATCACTTTTTCCGTCAAAAAATATTTTGTATTTTGTGGACCTAATTTTGTTATATTTCCTTATATATTTGTGATATCTTTTATTAAAAGAAGGGTAATTTAGTCATTTTGTACATAAAAAGGGGTATTTTTAAAAATGGACAGCCAAAGGGGGCATTTTTGAAAAGGGGTATTGAAAAAGGGGCATTTTTGTGAGTCTCCCTTAAATTTTTTATATTTTTTTATAATTATAGTTTTTGGTGTTTTTATACTTTTTTATAATCATATACTAAATTTATTTTTGTAAATTTTGGTTTAACAGCTATTGTACCCGCTGATCAACCAGTCGTAAATCTCCCGCAAACGTATCCGTTTTTAACCGCTAAACCAGTCGGTCAAAACGCTAAAAAATGTTTGAAACCGCAACCGCCCGCTTCCGCAAACTCCCACAACCGCAACCGCTGCGTTTAAACCAGTCAATTGTAATGTTTACGCTTTGGATAAAATTGGATACAAATCGAATTGGATAAGAACTATTGCAATAAAATATTATAAGATTTATTAACCGTTATCATGGATCTTAATGAATAACTAAAAATCATTTGAGTAACGTTCTATACTCTTATAATAAAACAAAATTTCAATTTTCAAATTATGAAAAACAAACAAACAAAGCTCTTAGCCTTTTACGCCTCTTCAACATATGAATCAAGTATGCATATGGAACATTAAAATCAAAGATGATCATTCCATATAACATATTTTCAAGTATCTAAGTCATGAGTTCTATACAGTTATGGCATGTCCATATACATATAAGTCCGATCGAACCAAATATCATAACTTTTGTCAAAAAATTAAAGCTCAACGATTTCATCGACGATATATTCAAATCGGAGAAAACAAAAACGGAAACTTGAGAAAAAAAATAAGAGGAAAGAAAGATATTTACTTCTGGGCACTGAATTCAGATTCTAATTACATCAATCGCTGAGAAAAAGACATAGGAGATTTAGAGTTCGATTGCGGAACACCGCCATCGCTCCGCCGCCATCGCTCCGCCGCCCTCCGGCGATAGAAACTCTTTTAGACACACAATGAAGCAATCGTCTCTTATTGGCTGCCATTAGTGAAAGTCTTTCAGATATGAAAGCAAAGGTCTTACTTTAACTGTTTATCTAATCTATCTCTCTCCTTTGTTCATCTGTTTTTCCAGAAAAAAATGATCGTTTTCTAACTTTTTCGGGATACAAATTTTATCTGAATACTAAAATTGATTTACGGTTTGGTCTCAGTTTAACATTCAAATTTGATTTGGTTCTTTTTTTGCCTTCAAATTATTTAAATATTAAATATTTAATTAAAATCATTTCTCAAATTTTAAATTTCTTTAATATTAAAAAAAAATCATTTAAAAATATCCCGCGGCGGAGCGCGGGTGTCGACCTAGTATGTCTAAAACTAAAAAGCTTCGTATTCATGAATCAGATCAGATCCTACAATTTTTGAAACAACCTTTTTAATATTCGTCCCAACGGTCGAAAATATACAGTAGCCGTCATTTAAATCCTCTGATCCATCTTTCCAAAAATTACAACTAGCCGTTACAATTTCTCTTCTCTCTCTCTCTCAAACTCTCTACATCTTCAGGGCTTTTCTTGATCTACCAATTTCTTGGTTCATTGTTTCCTTTAACGAACAAAAAGATCTCAGATTTGTTACCAAATTCAACAATTCCAAACAATTTTAATCACTCATGGCTTCTCCTACCAACAAAAATCCCTCCTTTTCTCCTCCAATCCCTAACAGACCAAACCCTAAACCCAGAAACTCAGAAGCCGGTGACCCTTTACGCCGGAGCTTTGGTGGCAACCCTTTTCCGGCGAATACAAAAACCAACATCCCCTCAGGTTAGAGTCTTTCTCAATCCCTCAAAGTTTTGATTTTTAAATTAGGGTTTTAAATTAGAACTTAACTTAGTCTTAGTAGATTAAGTTCAGATTCTTTGATATGTTCTTGATGATTGATGTGTTGTGATGGTTGTGTTGTTTAGATATTTCTAGGAGGAACTCTTTTGGTGGAGATAAAGAGAACGAGACCAAACCTGTTCTAACTCCAAAAAGTTCCAAGAACTTTATGTCACCAACAATTTCAGCAGTTTCTAAAATGAATCCATCTCCAAGGAAGAGAGTTTTGTCTGATAAAAACGAAATGTCTCGATCCTTCTCTGATGTTAAAGGTCTAATCTTGGAGGATGATAGCAAAAGAAATCATCACCGAGCTAAGTCGTGTGTTTCGTTTTCGGATGTCTTACATACTATTTGTATCGATGAGAAGAAGAAGTTTGAGGAATCTAATGACATGACTGTGACTGATTTTGATGAGAAGGAAGTTTATGAGAACAAGGGGATTACGTATTCTGATCCAAGATTTAGGATTAGTCCTCGTCCTTCTGTTCCATATACATCTCCTGAAGTTGATACATTGTTGCCTCCTTATGATCCGAAGAAGAATTTTCTGTCGCCGAGGCCTCAGTTTCTTCATTATAAGCCGAATCCAAGAATCGAGAAGCGGTTTGATGAGTGTAAGCAGCTTGAGGAACTTTTCATCTCTGAAAGCTCTTCTTCGGAGACTGAATTGTCTGTAGAAGAATCTGAGGATCAAGAGAAGGATGGAGCTGAGGTGGTTGTAGAAGATGAAACCGAAAATGTGGAACAATTGGAAGCAGAGAGTGATGAAGAAATGGTTTGTGAGAGCGTTAAAGAAACAACAAGTCATGTTCCAAAGCAGTCTGGTTTCAGGAAGTTCAAGTTCCTTGGTTGGATTTTGGCTTTGGCCATGGCGTATTTGTTGGTTTCAGCGACCTTTTCTCCACCGATGAAATCAAGTTTCAACGAGTTCCATATCCCAAGAGAGATCACAGAGTTTGCAAAAGCTAATAACTTGGACAAGTTGAGTGAAAAGCTCTGGACTTTGACAGAATCATCACTTGTGTACATGGATAAACTGATCTCAAGTCTAGGAGGAGGTAATGAGGAATATGGTCTACTGCAATTTCATAACTTGACATATACTCTGCAAGATATTACTGTTTTCCAGCTAGCAAGTGTTGAAATCAATGAGGAACCATTACAAGAGAAGAGCAAAGTTGAAACCAATCTTGAAGATGTCTACATAGAAGATGGCTCTTTCAATGAATTTGTTGAGGAGGAGAGTGGAACAGAGGAAAACTCTGAATTGGTTTGTGATGCAGAAACTAATGAATTTGATGAACAGGCTGAGGTGAAACCGAGCGCAGAATCAAATGACGGTGAAGGAAACTTGAAAGCTCTTTTCGAAGATGGCTTAGAGTTGAACATTGAAGAACTGAGAGAGTCTGAGATGAGTCCTGAAAAAAAGCTTGAAACTGGATCAATCAAAAAGAAGTTGGAAGAAACTGAATCTGAAGCTATCTACATAAACCAGCATAAAGAGAGTGAGGTAGCTGGTGCTGAAAGTGGATCAAAAGAAGCTTTTGAGGAAATTGCAGCAGAAACTAGTGATGATATTCATCCTAAAGTAAGGTCTTCTAATAAGGCTGATAATGATTCCACAAAGGCGGTGATAGTATTGTCCTCGACAGTGCTGGTTCTACTCGCAGTGGCTTCTTTCTTATTCGCTAAGAAGACAAAACCAATGGCTGCATCTGCTCCTAAACCGTCCCCTGAGACCACCATGGAGTTAAACTTGGGTCATGTGCCAGTAGAGAAGCCTTTTTCACTGAATTTGGAGGAAGAAGTTGATGACAGAATGAGTAACAGTTTCCATCAAAGCGAAGGCGGCAAGAAGAATAACAAGAATAGCAGTAGCAGCAAGTTCAGGAGAGAATCAATGGCATCTTCAGCATCAGAATACTCTGTTGGCTCCTTTTCTTACGGAAGTTTCACAACTTACGAGAAAATACCCATCAAAAGTGTAAGTACCATCAATCTACTACTATCACTTAAGTAAAGGTTTTTACAAGTTTTGCATCGTTTTAACACTAGTTTTATACTCACAGGGTGATAGAGAAGAAGAGATGATTACACCAGTGAGACGTTCAAGCCGGATTAGGAACAAACCATCTGGTGGACTATGATAAAGAGACAAGACTTTTACTAAGACTTTTCATTTCTTTCATTGCACCACTCTGCAATCTTTAGTTTCCTAAATTAGAATTAGCTTCTTTTTTTCACTTCCATAAATTTTCTGATTTGTTTTACCAAACTTGATTCAATCTTGAATTGATCCAATCCAAAGTTTGTTCCTTTGTTGAAGAACAAAAGCCTTTGGCATCTATTTTGTATACATATGAAAAGTAAAACAGAGACACAAGACTCAATATCTCCAGCTTCCTCCGTCAGATCGGCCTTGACCATCGGCAACAGATCAGACTCAATTTTGTTACGTTGAGATCAGTGAAGAGAGAATAAAGAAGATGAACAAGTTAAATAGTTTTCGGTTGATTTCTCTATCATCGTGCGTAGTGTTGTGTTTCACTCTTAAAGCCTAACGGTTTTCTGTTGTTGGGCTTGGTTTTCATTTTCAGGCATCATAAGGTATAATGACCCATGTTTTAGTTGGGTTTCTCATAACCAAACCTTGTATGGTTTAAGACTTTTATTAATAAAAAGCCCACCTTCAGGTGGTTTGTGAAAAAAAAAATGGCCAAAAAACCTTACAAATACAATTAGGGGGGTATATTTAGAGGTGTCAATGTTTAATAGATAATGAATCAATCCAACTCATTTAGCAAATGGTTTGGATCAACCCATAACTCATTATAATTAATGGATTAACAAGTTAAATGAGTTGACCCATTTAATAATTTTATTATAATTTAAATAATTATCATAATTAATAATTACCATACTATAATCATCATCATATAACCATCATCTCACACAAATCACAAAATAGAAGATATCCATCATATTTCCATCATCATCATCATCATATTACATGAAAACACTGAAGAGTTTGCTAAATTAGTTCTTAAATGACAATAGCATTTTTGAGGGTCTTCCTCCTGCCAACCGTCAGCCTTCCTAACTTCTACATGCAAACATGAGCAACAGTATTTTACCTTCATCGTCAATTTTGTAACCATGTATCCAAGAACGAGTACATAGTAAAGCTTGGACGTTACTAGGAAGAAGTCGACTTTGATATTTGCTTATCACTTGAGATCCAAAATAAAGGAAGACTCAGAGGCTACAGTGATTTTGGTATACATAGAACGTCCATTGCCATGTATGTTAATGCACAGAAACGATGTCTATTTTCTTTCCAATACTCCAAAACATTCAAATTAGGATGGTTTTTCATCTCTAGCTTTGGATCCTCCAAATACATATTCAAAGCCGACTTTCCTTCTTCCATATAATCTGGAACATCATCTAAGTCAACAGATCATGTATCATTGTAATTTAAACAAGTTACAGTCTTAATAAGACCTACATATTAAAAATTAACTTCGAAATTCTCTCTTTTATTATTTTAGTTATACCCCCAAATATTAAAAATTAATTAACATTTATCTTTTTGTATTATGTTAACCAACATATCTATTTTAAATTTAGTTCCAAAATTTTAAATTTAAAACAAAATAAAAACTAACACATGGCATATGAGTAAGCAAAATTTGTATATGTGGCAGATGATTAAGTAAAAGTTGTATACATGATATATGATTCATCATGGTTGACCAACATCATTCCGATCAATGTTGACTTTGGCACAAATTTGATAGTTCATATAGTTTATTTGAAAAATGTTTAATTCGGGTTGAAATCGGCACGCTATCAAAATTGAGGTATAAAATGCATTTTCAAAATTGTACAGGTTAAAATGCACTTTCAAAAATGTACGCTATCAAAATTGAAAAGTTTGTTTTGGTAAGTAAATACAAGTTCGTACATTTTTCGATAAGTGAAAAAGTTTGATTATAAAATTCAAATTTTGTACTCGCAAAATTGGAGAGGTTGAAACTCAATCAAGACATGTTTGTCACCTTGACAACACAAACATCTACCAATTAGATACAATTAGATAGAAGCAAAACCATGCAACAATGGGTTTAAGGGTCTCATGTAACGAATTTGGAAAGGAGCACCTGTTGCGTTGTTCTGCTGACGCTCTTTGGGAACATTAACAAAACCCAAAACAATAATGAAAAATTCACGAGTGAGTTGTTTAAGAAATTTCATGAATTTGACGCCGACTTTTAGTCTCATCTAATTTGCTAGTTACACATTGAACGGTCGATCATTTTTCCCTCAAGACAAGGAATATTAGTTTGCTTAGATAATGTCCGACAGTTTTATAGACACAACTTCATATTTTCTATTATTGTGTTTTTTTTCAGTATATATACATTCGCATATAATAATTTGTGTTATAGTGATTCTGTATAATAGTTTTATAATTACTATTTAGAATTAGTTAAAGATTTTAACAAGAGAAAAAAAAAAGATTCCCTCAATCGGCCAAGAATGGTGAAATATAGGACGAGAGATAGATTACTCCTTAAATATCCAAAACATTAAATGTAATGATAATAAAAAATGGAAAAAAAAAGAAAGAAAAAAAGAAACTTTTGTTCCCAACCTTTTATAGGAATAGTAATTGCGGCAACAGCTTAGCTGGCTTATGGCGGGATTATCGGGAAAGTCAAACCAAACATTAAAACGACGTCACTTTACCCCACAATTGGTTTTAATTTAATTTTAATCTAATTTCAAAAATTATTAATTAATCAGATTTGTATTAATAAAAAAATTAATTTCGAAGTTTCTTGCAAAGACGAGAGAGGAGTGTCACAGTCTACAGTTGTTTTCTCAACAATCTCGATCTTCTTCTCTCTCTCTCTAAAGATTTTTTCACACAACAATCACTTTTTGACTGTGTATTGTCTGATTTTAAGGATTAGTGAAAATTTTCTACTTTTTTTCTCATAAATTAGGATTTAGAGAGAGAAAGAGAAGAGAGAGAGAGAGAAAGAGAGGTGCTTTAATGTCTGTGAAGGTAGGAGCTGTAATTGGATCCAGAAACAGAGCAAACCCAGTTCGATATCTGTCTCTTTCTTCTTCTCTAGATATCGAAAGACTTGATTTTTATTAGGGTTGTTGAATTGGGTATTTGCTAAAATCCTGAAAAATTGTGTCTTTCTTTCTCTGGGTTTGGGTTTGTGTTAGTGAGTGATGAGTGTTGATGGGTCGTCGTTGGATTGAGTTTGATAAGCAATGGTTGATCAAAGAAGAAGCGCATTGGGTTTTGTCTTCTTGTGTTTGGTACTGCTCTTCGACTCTGTTGTTGTTGGTCAAACACGGGCTCGATTCAGTGAGAAACTCATTTTGCTTAATCTCAGGTCTTCTTTAGGGTTAAGAGGAACAGATTGGCCAATTAAAGGTGACCCTTGTGTTGTTTGGAGAGGTATACAATGTGAGAATGGTAGTGTTATTGGGATCAACATTTCTGGGTTTAGGAGAACAAGAATTGGTAAGCAAAACCCACAATTCGCTGTTGATCCTCTTCGTAATTTAACTCGTTTGGCGTATTTTAACACCTCGGGATTAGCTTTACCGGGGACTATTCCTGAGTGGTTTGGTGTTAGTTTGTTGGCATTGCAAGTGTTGGATCTTAGTTCTTGCTCTATTAGTGGTGTTGTTCCTTTTACTCTTGGTAATCTCACTAGTTTAAGGACTTTGAATCTGTCTCAGAATAGTCTTACAAGTTTGGTTCCTAACAGTTTAGGACAGTTGTCGAATTTATCAGAGCTTGATCTCTCTAGGAATTCACTCACTGGAGTTCTTCCTCAATCTTTTAGCTCTCTGAAGAATCTGTTGACTCTTGATGTTTCTTCCAATTACCTTACTGGACCAATCCCTCCTGGTTTAGGAATGTTATCGAAGCTTCTTCATTTGAATTTTTCAAGCAATAGTTTCTCGTCTCCGATTCCTCCAGAGCTTGGTGATCTAGTCAATCTGGTTGACTTTGATCTCAGTATCAATTCATTGTCTGGTTCAGTTCCTCAGGAGTTGAGAAAGTTAAGGAATTTGCAGCTAATGGCGATTGGCGATAACCTTTTGAGTGGTACTTTACCAGTAGATTTGTTTAGTGCTGAGAGTCAACTGCAAACTTTAGTTTTGAGGGAAAATGGTTTCTCCGGTAGTCTACCGGATGCATGTTGGTCATTGCCGAAATTGCGGATTCTTGATATTGCTAAGAATAACTTCACAGGAATGCTGCCAAATTCTAGTTCTGTTCCAGACCAGTTAGCTGAGATGGTTGATATCTCTTCGAACACATTCTATGGAGAGCTCACACCGGTTCTTAGAAGGTTCAGGGAAGTGGACCTCTCTGGTAACTATTTCGAGGGTAAGGTTCCGGATTATGTGACCGGGGAAAATGTGTCTGTTACTAGCAATTGCCTTCGAAATGAGAGGAGACAGAAGCCATCAGCAATATGTGCAGCATTCTATAAATCTAGAGGATTAGATTTTGATGATTTCGGACGTCCTAATTCTACACAACCGACATCGAAAAATGCTTCTTCAGGGATAAGCCGCAGGACAGTAATTATATTGGCAGTGGCTGGTGGAGTTGGTTTTATTCTGATTTTTGTTATCTTGCCAATTATTCTGGTTCTATGCATACGCCATAGACGCAGAGCAGCTCAAAGAGGAAATAACGACAGGCCTAAGCCTGCTGGGGAAGCTTCACAACAACCACCTAAAGGAGCACAGACATTTGATTTGTCGCGTCTTGGAAATGCATTTTCATATGAACAGCTTCTCCAAGCAACAGAGGAATTCAATGATGCTAATCTGATAAAACATGGCCATTCTGGGAATTTGTTTCGTGGTTTCTTGGAAAATGGTATACCCGTTGTTATAAAAAAGATCGATGTGCGGGAAAGTAAAAGTGAAGGATATATATCAGAACTTGAGTTGTTTAGTAAGGCTGGACACCAGAGGCTGGTTCCCTTTCTGGGACACTGCCTGGAGAATGAGAGCCAAAAGTTCCTGGTCTACAAGTTTATGAGACACGGTGATTTGGCTAGCTCTTTGTTCAGGAAATCCGAAAACGAAGGTGATGGATTGAAGTCTTTGGATTGGATAACAAGGTTGAAAATTGCTCTTGGTGCAGCAGAGGGACTATCTTATTTGCATCACGAGTGTTCGCCACCTCTAGTTCATAGGTACTACTCTCCTGCTCAGCTATTCATAATAAACTCTTGATACTCTTTAAAGCACTAAGTTTCAATCCTCGAAGGATGTAGTTTGTTGATTCTGTTTCTAGTATCAAATAATCTATTCATGGATTTTTAGTGTTCAGTTTCCTAGATGGAGAAGCCCATTGATATTACCTGCTCCTAAATTACTTGTTGCTATATTTCCTAGTAAGCACAAAAGTATTCATGTGTGTGTGTTCAATGTTATATAGGGATGTACAAGCAAGTAGCATACTTCTTGATGATAAATTTGAGGTACGGCTAGGAAGCCTAAGCGAGGTATATGCTCAAGGTGATGCTTACCAAAGCAGGATTTCTCGTTTACTTCGGTTACCACAGTAAGTGCTTATGACATTAACAAATCTTCTGGTCCTTTTGTGTTTTAATTTGATTTCCTAACAAGACTCTTTGTTGTCTTGGTACTACATTATAGAAAGCACTTTCGAGTTCTTACTAATGCTTCTCCCTCTTCTTTTCCGACTCTTGCAGATCGACTGAACCTTCCTCTTCGGGTATGTATGCTTCGGATCATAAAACCTTCCATTACGATATAAACTTTAGTTTAAATCTTCTACATTTTGGAGTGTAACAGTTCAATTGCTTCTTACCTAATAGAACTTTAAGTTAATAGGCTCTAGTAACAACGTGGCATGTGTATCAAAGGAGCCGGTTCGTGGATTTAGTATCTGAATGAACGGAACATAATCTATTGCTTTGTAAGATTAACCGAATAGGTTTGGGGATTTTTGAAGACATCTGATTGTTTTCCTCTCTTCAGGTGCAACAAATGCAACATGTTCCTATGATGTCTACTGCTTCGGCAAAGTGTTACTTGAGCTAGTAACAGGGAAGCTCGGGATCAGTTCACCAGACAACGCACTGGCAAAAGAGTACATGGAAGAAGCTTTGCCATACATCAATACTAATGAGAAGGAACTAGTAACCAAGATCTTAGACCCGTCATTAATGGTGGACGAAGACCTTCTAGAAGAAGTATGGGCAATGGCTATCATTGCAAAGTCATGCCTAAACCCAAAACCAACAAGAAGACCATTAATGAGACACATAGTTAACGCACTTGAGAACCCACTGAAAGTAGTAAGAGAAGATACCAACTCGGGTTCAGGCTCTTCCCGGTTGAGAACAAACTCGTCAAGAGGGTCTTGGAACGCTGCTATATTTGGGAGCTGGAGGCAGAGCGCATCGGATGTAACAGCGGTTCAAGCGGGAGCAACAACAAGTGGTGGTGGTGGTGGTGGTGGTAATGGTTTGAGGAACTCAGGGTCATCGTCAAGCGGAAGAAACAATAACAACAACGGGAATTCATCGTCAAGAAGACGGCAATCTAGTGAGATTGTACCGGAACCTGCTGCTTATGGAGTAGTAGAGGATAATTTATGATTCGTTTCATCGATTCTTTTGTGTCGATAATAACAGAGGCAAAGAAAGTCCTCAAGGTAGCATAATGTTAGAAGGGAGGTTTTGCTTTTTCTTTTGTTTTTGGGTTTAGGATTGGTGGAGAGTTAGAATTGTTAGTTCACTCTTTGTTTTTTTTTGTTCTTAGTTTTGGTTCAAACGTGGATGTTGTAAATTGTAATTCTTGGAAATTGGGTTTTGTTTTCGGTTTCTTTCTTATTGAAAGACCAGAAAACAAAAAAAAAGTTGGGTTCGTTTACATTTGTTTCTTCAGTTCCACTTTTACTTCTTCATTTTGTTGGATCTGATTTCGTACGTATTAATAAATGTTGACTATTTCATTCGCACGTGGGAAGCTTTTGATCCACATTGGGACAAAAAGTAAAAGTAAAGGTTCTACCGAGAATTGAACTCGGGTTACTGGATTCAGAGTCCAATGTCCTAACCGCTAGACCATAGAACCATTTTGACTACAACTATCAAATTATGTTTATGTACACTTATGAACCAAGCCAACATTTTTTGGACTTGCAGGATTTTAGTATGAGCTGTAACCATATTGAATTATTTCACACACTGATTTCAATGGCTTAATTTGAAAAATTACAACATTAAAAACAAAAATTGAAAATCTATCATGGTTAAAGTGATTAGATAGCTAAATATATATATATATATATATTTTGGGTTATTATGTCATTTCTATTAGATTAACTAGGACTACAAAATAAAGTTGTAAGGAAACAAATTTGTGTTTTGACTTTTGTTTCATTAATTGTTTAGTTTGACCCATCATATTATGACAATTATGTAAAGCAAGAACATCAAAAAAGATCTACAACCAAACTGGAAAAAAAAAAAAAGAAGAGAGAAACAAAAATATTATAAGAGAAGAAGTTAGATATCTATGGAAAAATGAAAAGCAAGAAATCTTCAGATGCTTATGGAACATATTTTCTTCTGATATCAACCATTTTCTTGCTTTTCATCTCACGTAAGTCATTTGGTTCATTATATTCAAATACAAAAACTGATATTTGTGATGGTGGACGATCTTTGAATGTATGGTTATGCTTCATTTTTTTTTTTTTTATTATCTAATATCAATTACAGGACAAGCAAATTCGTACCAAATGCTCATATGTTTAGATCTAAATATATCATGTGCTGAGTGCCAACAACAGTGCGACGAGACAAGTTATGGAGGGATATGTTTAAATGGAGGCAGAACTTGTTGTTGCAAAAAAAGTCCTGGCCCTTCTTCATAATCATATTGAATATGTTCCTATTTGGTAATATCATTTTGGATTTGCTCAAACGTATCAAATTTATACTTTGAAAGGAGAAAAAATCAGCAAAATAAAGTTATTTCATAATATATTTTTATTTGTTTACTAATCTCACATTCATAAAGTCAAATTATATTGAAACTTTCTTAACACGAACAAATAAGATTTACGCTAAATTTTACAATAAAAATGTAGTTTACTTATCAAAACCACATGGATTTTTTTGCGTATGCCATAATCGTGGTTTGAATGTGGCTAAAGAGTTATAAATGCATCATGTGGCTAATCCGTGACTCAGGTTTAGATATTAGCCATAGATATATAGTTCGTGACTTTATGGTGAATTAGCTATGGATAAACTATCCGGGATAGTGCATGATTAAATTTCATCAGAGCCACATATTAGCCAAGATATAGAAAGATAATGTACCATGTATGGGTAGGCCACGAATATAATACACACTTTAAGTAGAACATCTGTTCCATATTTCATTAGTTTTGGAAAACCTCTTAGAAATAAAATCTTTGAGTTCATAGATTTGAAAAAATAATCGCATCCATTCCATGTGACATTCCTTTCCAGCTCTTACTATCCCCCGACAACAATCCTTTGAAACACTTTTGTTCTGAATAATATCAGCTAACACTTCTTCGATACATTGTTCAGGAACGTCCATCTTTTTACTGCAATTCTTAAGATAATCTTTTTGTTTTTTTGAATATTTACGACCAACATTTTCGTTAAAATCGTCCGATGTCGGTGACATTGCAATTATCGCTTCAAACTCGTCGTCTGAAATGAGTAGCGGCTCGTCATTATCGCCTTGTATGGCCAAAGTTGGATGAGAAAAAGATAGCAAAATCATGATTAAAGAAAATATCATGAAAATGGTTTTATTCTCCATTTTAAATATTTTGATGTTTTCCTTAATTGGTTTTCCTTTTTTTATATACCACCAATGAAGATTTCTCTGTGTATTTATAGTGTCGAATGTTCATTAATGTTATTATTTAGTAACTTTTTTTTGGTTAAAATAACATTTTTTAATTTATTTCTCACCAACAATATCTTATTAGTTATCAACATAATTTCCATCTTTTGACGTTTTACTGCGTTTATAAATATAGTTCGTTTAATGCATTTCAGTTTATGAAAATATAAAATAAGTTGAATAAAAAACCTTAAGCGTATCATAGATAGAAAATTGGGCTTTAAGTCCATCTATATGTGCATTTTAATTTTTAAGCTTCATTGTAGTAAATTTACTGTTTGTATTCGGATGAAGTTTGCAAAAAATTAAAGGAAAAAAAATACAAGAGCAATGCAATAAGTTATTCAAAGAACTACCAAACCTATTTTATGAAACCCCTTGCTATCAGTAAACACTAAAAATGCATCATGTTTGTGAATATGAAAATATATGGGTGTATGAACTATTTAATACTGAATAAAAGTCTAAGAAAAAGGGTTAATTTGGCAAAGAAAAAGATATATAACAAAAACAACCAAAGCCCAAGGTGAGCCAAACTGATATTACACTAACACCAAACCAAAACTGTTTATAGAGCAATTGGTTTCATACTTTCATGAATTAGAAAACCAAAACTCGAAATGTAACCGAACTGAACCAATTTTAGTGTATCTAAACCAAACAAACCGAAAGACATTAAAATTTTCTGTTTTAATTATATTTATATACTGTATAAAATTTTCTATTTTAATTATATTTATATACTGTATTTACAATAAATATATTCATATTATATAAATATAATGTAAACTAAAATCTTTATTTATATTTATAAAATTTATCTAGTCATGGTAATATGTGGTGCAAATATGAAAAGAAATCACCCAGCATAGAAACTTTTAAAATTTGAACAATTCTTTAGATTACATCCACAAATCCTTCAATTCCTCATCTTTAAATGATGTGACATATTTTTACCCCACTAAAATACAACAAATTCTGTTACACTTGTGTTGCCATTTAGACCCCTCTATACTTTCTACATCTTGTCACGCACGGCTGGTCATTTCGTGTCATATATTTGATACGTAAACTAAAATCAAATTGTTGGCAAAAGAAAAAAACTAATGCAAACAAACAAAAATCGGAAGTAATATTATTGTTCAAATAATAAATTAGTTACATTTTTTTAACCAGAGAATGGTGAAACAGCTCCAATTTCAGTAGAACATCTGTTCCATATTTCATTAGTTTTGGAAAACCTCTTAGAACTAAAATCTATGAGTTCATAGATTTGAAAAAATAATCGCATCCATTCCATGTGACATTCTTTTCCAGCTCTCACTATCCCCCGGCAACAATCCCTTGAAACACTTTTGTTCTGAATAATATCAGCTAACACTTCTTCGATACATTGTTCTGGAACGTCCATCTTTTTACTGCAATTCTTAAGATAATCTTTTTGTTTTTTTGAATATTTACGACCAACATTTTCGTTAAAATCGTCCGATGTCGGTGACATTGCAATTATCGCTTCAAACTCGTCGTCTGAAATGAGTAGTGGCTCGTCATTATCGCCTTGTATGGCCAAAGTTGGATGAGAAAACGATAGCAAAATCATGATTAAAGAAAATATCATGAAAATGGTTTTATTTTCCATTTTAAAATATTTTGATGTTTTCCTTAATTGGTTTTCTTTTTTTTATATACCACCAATGAAGATTTCTCTATGTATTTATAGTGTCGAATGTTCATTAATGTTATTATTTAGTATCTTTTTATTGGTGAAAATAACATTTTTTAATTTATTTCTCACCAACAATATCATATTAGTTATCAACATAATTTCTATCTTTTGACGTTTTACACCGTTAATAAATATAGTTCGTTTAATGCATTTCAGTTTATGAAAATATGAAATAAGTTGAATAAAAAATCTTAAGCATATCATAGATAGAAAATTGGGCTTTAAGTCCATCTATATGTGCATTTTAATTTTTAAGCTTCATTGTAGTAAATTTACTGTTTGTATTCGGATGAAGTTTGCAAAAAAATTAAAGGAAAAAAAATACAAGAGCAATGCAATAAGTTATTCAAATAACTACCAAACCTATTTTATGAAACCCCTTGCTATCAGTAAACACTAAACATGCATCATGTTTGTGAATATGAAAATATAGAGAAATTGTTAAAAATGCCCCTTTTTCAATACCCCTTTTCAAAAATGCTCCCTTTGAGAGTCCATTTTTAAGTTTGCCCTCTTTTAATTTTTAATGACCATTTTACCCTTATTTGAAACAAAATTAGGTCCACAAAATACAAAATATTTTTTGGCGGGAAAAATGATCCCGCAATTTTCCCGCCAAAACACTTGTAAAAACCTTTAAAATACCTTGTAAAATTTTCCCGTAAAAAATTTTTCCGCCAAAAAATTTTCCCGCCAAAAATTTTTTTTGCGGGAAAAGTGATTCCGCAATTTTTTTGGCGAAATTTTTTTGGCAGGAAAATTTTTGGCGGGAAAAATTTACAAGGTATTTTAAAGGTTTTACAGAGTATTTACAAGTGTTTTGTAAGGTTTTACAATGTATTTTAAAAGGTTTTACAAGGTACTTATAAGGTTTTATAAGGTATTTATAACTTGTAAAACCTTATAAATAACTTGTAAAACCTTATAACTTGTAAAACCTTATAAAATAGCTTGTAAAATCTTATAATATCTTATAAATACCTTATAAATACGTTGTAAAACCTTTTAAAATACATTGTAAAATTTTATAAATACCCTGTAAAAAACCTTTAAAATACCTTGTAAAATTTTCCCGCCAAAAATTTAACGCCAAAAAAATTGCGGAATTACTTTTCCCGCAAAAATATTTTTTTGGCGGGAAAATTTTACAAGGTATTTTAAAGGTTTTACAAGTTTTTACAAGTGTTTTGGCGGGAAAAATTGCGGGATCACTTTTCCCGCCAAAAAATATTTTGTATTTTGTGGACCTAATTTTGTTATATTTCCTTATATATTTGTGATATCTTTTATTAAAAGAAGGGTAATTTAGTCATTTTGTACATAAAAAGGGGTATTTTAAAAAATGGACAGCCAAATGGGGCATTTTTGAAAAGGGGTATTGAAAAAGGGGCATTTTTGTGAGTCTCCCAAAAATATATGGGTGTATGAACTATTTAATATTGAATAAAAGTCTAAGAAAAAGGGTTAATTTGGCAAAGAAAAAGATATATAACAAAAACAACCAAGGCCCAAGGTGAACCAAACTGATATTACACTAACACCAAACCAAAATTGTTTATAGAGTAATTGGTTTCATACTTTCATGAATTAGAAAACCAAAAATCGAAATGTAACCGAACTGAACCAATTTTAGTGTATCTAAACCAAACAAACCGAAAGATATTAAAATTTTATGTTTTAATTATATTTATATACTGTATTTACAATAAATATATTCATATTATATAAATATAATATAAGCTAAAATCTTTATTTATATTTATAAAATTTATCTAGTCATGGTAATATGTGGTGCAAATATGAAAAGAAATCACCAACGACGAATCTGGCGTCCTCTCTCCATTTCATTTCTCTAGAAGGTTCCTTTCTTTTTCTTTTGACACGCTAGTCTCTTATTGATTCGCTTTCACAACTTTTATATGTTTTTTGGTGTCATATTATTGCAGAGAGAATGGTGAGAACGATGTAACAGTGAAAATCTTATTTTGTGGTGAATTTGTCACTCTGATCTTCATACCATCAAGAACCACTGGGGAATCTCTCGTTAACCCATTGTTCCCGGGTATTCTCATTACTTACCATTTCTATTATTCATGGTCCCAAATATTCCTATTTCCCAAATTTGTATAAAGGAGATCTTATTTTGTGAACTGCAAATTAAGAAAAATATCCTGGAGATTTTATTACATTTATAGATTAAGAAATGATTAAGGTTTGGATTTTAAAATTAATTATATTTTAAATTAAAAATACATTTATAATATTTTAAAATTATTTAACATTATTGTTTGAATTTTTACATTCATCAAAAAGACTTCTAATGTAGGAAAAACGATTTATATTGGCTAGGCGTTAGCCCTCTCGTACGATTAGGGCTTAGCAGTTTTGAGCATTGGACTATTATTAATTTATGACTGATTATTTTCCGATGTTTAACAACTATATATTTTCCTTCCGTTATTTTGTTAATTTGCTAGGCATGAAATCGTTGGAATAGCAACAAAAGTTGGTAAGAATGTGACAAAGTTTAAAGAAGGAGACCGAGTAGGAGTAGGCGTAATAATCGGTTCATGCGAATCATGTGAATCATGTAACCAAGACTTAGAAAACTATTGTCCTAAAGTCGTTTTCACATACAACTCTCGTTCCTCTGACGGAACCAGAAACCAAGGTGGTTATTCCGACGTAATTGTTGTCGATCACCGCTTTGTCCTAAGCATTCCCAATGGTTTACCAAGCGATGCAGCCGCCCCGCTGCTCTGTGCTGGAATCACTGTGTACAGTCCCATGAAGTATTATGGTATGACTGAAGAATCAGGGAAACATTTAGGTGTGAATGGACTTGGTGGACTTGGTCATATCGCTGTGAAGATTGGTAAAGCCTTTGGTTTAAGAGTTACTGTGATTAGTAGGTCATCGGAGAAAGAGAGCGAAGCAATTGATCGACTCGGTGCTGATTCGTTTCTTGTTACAACGGATTCTCAAAAGATGAAGGATGCAGTTGGAACTATGGATTTCGTTATCGATACGGTATCAGCAGAACATGCTCTATTACCGTTGTTTAGTTTGCTTAAAGTGAGTGGCAAGCTTGTGGCTTTAGGCTTATCGGAGAAGTCACTCGAGCTACCAATCTTCCCTCTAGTTCTCGGTAAAGAAACCGATGATGACCCTTTTGTTTTAAGCTGTGAATCTATGGTTTACGTGTTGTGGAAGTAAATGTTAGTGTTTTTGGTGTTTTGTTATAGGAAGGAAAATGGTGGGAGGAAGTCAGATTGGTGGGATGAAGGAGACCCAAGAGATGCTTGAGTTCTGTGCTAAGCATAATATCGTTGCGGATATTGAGCTCATAAAGATGAGTGATATCAACTCTGCTATGGACCGTTTGGCTAAATCTGATGTCAGGTACCGGTTCGTGATCGATGTGGCCAACTCTTTAGTCACTGAGTCATCAGCTGAGATTTTAGAGGAACATGTCGACCATGGAGTCTCGATCACGTCTAAATTCTGAGATTTTCTTGAATCTTGAGGATGGTTACAAAATCATGAATCCGTTTTCTTGTAGGACTTGTTACTTGTCTTTTCTTTCTATGCTCTGTTTCCTGGTTTTGTCTGTTAATTGTTTAAAAGCAATGAAACTAAGACTTTTATTAGGGTTTTGCAAAAACCATGAATCTACAACATACTTGTTTTACAAGTTACTTGTTTGAGAAACTTAGTCTGTTCTTACTATGCTCTGTTTCTTGACAAACCCTTTTTTGTTCTAAATACTAGGAAGTCGACCCGTGCGTTGCCGCACGGGAAAAATGAAAACTTGAAGTAATTAACATTGCTAAATCGTTTAGATTGTAAACTTGATTATTCTAAAACCACATAAAGCTGGGTTTACCGAGTTTTAGTGAGAGAAATTATGAAATCACATAAACGATTAGAAAGGTACACAACCATTTTAAATAGAGATATTTTCGCATAAATTCACATGTTGAAATAAGCGATTAATCATATATCATAACAAATAAGGCGTTTTATGTAAGTTCTTTCCATTGGAAAATAATTAAATGCATTTGTAAGAAGATTTAATTTCATAGTCATAAATCAAAGATTACGCACCATGCGGACGATTAAAGATTACTCACCATATAGAAAGACGACATAATGCTCAACATATGAAAATCCAAGGAAAAAGAGGGGCTAGAAAATTAAAAAAAAACAAAAGGTTTACAATAATTCTTGCTTATTAATTAAATGCTTATTTCTTCCTAATCTTTGTCGATATAATGGTATTTCTCTCTTGCCTTGTTTGAAATCAAAGCTGTCATCGTGGCTATGAAATGGAATATGTTGTTGGCACCCTTCTCCTAACAGAGCCAAAGACAAAGGAAGATATCAACACACTATGAGCACATTATTTGAGAGACGTCAGACAGAAAAATATATATATACATAAAAATTTAAAATTTAGAGAGTTACTAATTAAAGATCTTAAAACTGAAAAAATCGATAATTCTCTTCAGTAAAGCCAGTAGATTAAAAAATTTTCATTCAATGTTTCTTAATTGAAGAATTTTTTACATCAAATAGTTAACATCGCCCAATGGTAAGGTTGGCATCTCAGCAAATGAAAAGGACAAACGGAGATCAGCGAGGACGAGTCAACAAATTACAAAGCTATATTTTGAGGGGAATCAATTGCCTACATCAAGTCACTTGCGTGGCTTCGACAAAGGGATTCCCACCTTTATAAAACAAAGTCACGACCTGTAGCTTGCATAAAGCCATCTCCAACCAACATTTCATAGTCACACCGTTCACAACTTGGTTACACATCTTACAAGTTTAAGGCATCAATCTTTCTTTTGATTACTCATCTCTAATATAGATTTCATCAGCTCAAAGTATTCTTTATCCCTCCTTTATTATTGTTGAGATTTGCTCTTGTACAATTTGGAAACCATTTCTCTTATTTGTACAGAGCATGTTGATAAAGAAAGTGAAACAGAATTGGATGAGAGATGGAGAGAAACTGTTTTTATTTACTCGACAACTTTGTACAATAACACACATACACTTATATAGATGTCTTAGGGTCGTAACCGTTCGTAACAGTTGTGTCTTATCCAACAAGTCATAACTCTTACCCACATACCCTTGTGTCTTAACAAAGTCACAGTTAACACATATCAATTGACTTTACAACATACTTAGTAATATGTTATAAGACTAAACTCAATTATCACTAAACTCAACACACTCAATTATGTACATAACTTCTCAAACAGAATCATAACAACACTCTCTAAATTTATCAGCTTTTAAAAAAGAATTCTACCATTACCAAAGTAAGCAAAGCAAATAATAAACCCGTATATATGACAATAGACAAGTAGCTAAAAACTGTAGTATTGGTAGGGAAGTTAAGGACCAAAGCCACACACTTAAGGTGTGAAATGGTGAATGATGGCATTTGACCGTATAAAAAACCAAGAAAATAGAGTCAACATCCACAAATAAGATAGTGCAGCAAACTCATACATGAGAAAATTGGACTGTGTAATCTATTCACACTCAAAAATTTCACTTTGTTCACAATTCTGTTCGAATTTAGATTAAGTTCCTTTAGATATAGATATTATAGAAGTAATGAAAAGAAAAGTACTGTACACATGTATTTCTAAACTGCGACAAGCTTTTGGTACCATAAACTATTTATCAGTTATTTCTCTCATATCCATGGCTTTAGGCTCAACATCTCATACCCCTCAAATGAAACATACAAAACAACCATCTCGTCCCCAAAAACCACATTAGTATTAAACTATAGGTCTAGTAAACCCAACGTATTTACAATGATGGAACAAATCTCAAAAATAGTCATTAACAAATCTATGTTTTGGGACCTGGGGAGAAAGCTTCAGATATTTCCAAGCGTCAAGCAAATCTATGATTGATTGCTTTGCTCATAGAACCCTATAAATCTAGAATGATATTAAGTAGGAGAGTGTGTAATCAACAAAGTCGATAGACGCATATTAAAAAAAAACAATAAGGAAATCACCAGAAGTACATTTGGACATGTACTAATCTAGAAACAAATGATCGATGTATAGAAATTAAGAGACAAGAACAAAATGACTAACCTACGATGAGGTTGAAGCGGTGGTGACAATGTTAAATAGAGGGGCTGTGGCTCCACACGCCAACTACAGACAATTGAAGATCAAGAAGCCCTTGGTAAGAAGACGTCCACAATCTCCACACTATCACCATTGTCTCATATCCATAGCATGATAATAACGACATGATGCTCAAAGTAACAAAATTTAAAATTTAATCAACCATCACATGTTTACTCAAACGAAGAAAAAAAGTCACAACTAAAAATATACACGAAGAAGAGATTACCTAAAAGAAAAGATCAAAGAGCGTGATAACAAGCGATGGTAAGGGTGTCAGGTGTGGAATCTCTAAAACGATGACCGGGGATGAGTGAACGGAGGATTGCAAATCAGGGATTCTAAAACGAAACATAACTTAGTAACGCAACCAAATTGAATAATTGAAGAACCAGGACAATTGTTCTTCATTGAATAATTGAAGAGCGTGACAAATCGGCGAGTTAAAACAGGGATCACCCTAGAGGCAAAATTAGGCAACGATGCATCACTCAACGGAGAATTGGGAAATTGATTTTGTGACTACTTTTTTTTATTTTTAATTCCTAGATACTTTCGACTTGAAAATTTGTAAGGGAACGACAGAGGAGAAGATAGAGTTCTGAAAAGTGGCAACTCAACAGTGTTGTGTCTTTCTGTTTTTAGAGAGGCATTGACTCGGAAGAAAAAGTAATCTCAACCGTTAGTTTTGCTTTAATAATAGACGCGACTTTTGCTTTAATAAAACAATCTCATCCGTTAGTTTTTCTTCTTTTTCGTTCTCAACCGTTAGATTATAAAAATGACGTCAGCAGATCCAAAAAAGTGGGTTTGCTATTATATATAGATATGTTAGATAGTTAAATATAAGTAAACTATCTCGCGGAATGTTAAAGCGGATAATTTGGTACGAAATATTCGAGATTTTCCGTTATTTGTTTTGTTTGTAAACACTCTTCCACAACTGCGGCTTGCTTGAGCCAACCAAATAATACAATGTTTCTTTTTTTTCTAAAGAATAATACATTGTTGTTAACAAAAAAAAGGTTAAATATCCTTCTTTTTTTGGGTTAGTTTTGCCAAATCCCTTAAATTTAATATGTTGGTTAATTGGCTATTAGACTTTATGCCATACGCCCATACCAAACATGAAACGCCAAATAAATTTGAAAGAAATCTCTAAAAATATGATTATTGTAAAAAATGGGGAACACCATGCAAAGAAGTAAGCAAGTGGGATATAGTAAAATCAGCACATGTGAGCTTTGGGATTCTGTAAAAACTTCAGTCCACTAACTAATTAATTATACCACATTTCTTCTAACCCTTACAGTAACTTAGCCTTTATATCTTTATTACTCTTTTACATTTCAAATCTCACTTCCTCCACATTCCTCTGTTTCCATGGCTCTCTCCTTCTTCTTCCCTCTCCTCTTCATTCTCTTCTTTGTTTCGCCGTCAAATGCACAGTCGTTTATCGGAGTAAACTACGGTTTACTAGCCAACAACCTCCCACCACCATCCGAAACGGCCAAACTCCTTCAATCTACATCCATCCAGAAAGTGAGGCTATACAATGCCGATCCATCCATCATCAAATCATTGGCAGGCACCGGCATCGGCATTGTTATCGGAGTAGCCAATGGCGATCTCCCGTCTATCGCCTCCGATTTCAATGCCGCCTCTCAGTGGATAAATTCAAACGTGCTTCCTTTCTATCCTGCCTCCAACATCATTCTCATCAATGTCGGCAACGAGGTGAATCTTTCTCTTAATCAAACTAATCACACAACTTTCATGAATTTCGCCCGTTTTTCCTAAAATTAATTTTCTTGATGTTATTTTTGTAAACTCTTTCCCTCTAGATCGGCAACTAATTGCGGAAAATCTATATATATAATAGGAGAGTCTTTTCTCCATCTAGCCTATCCACCTAACCATCCACCTAAGTATATGGGAAACAAAATAAATCCCTAAATCTATCATCGTTGATACTTGATATGTAGGTGTTGTTGTCGAATGACCTGAATCTGGTAAACCAACTTCTCCCGGCGATGCAAAATGTTCAAAAGGCTCTCGAGGCGGTTTCACTGGGCGGAAAAATCAAGGTGTCTACGGTCCATGCAATGACGGTGCTAGGCAACTCTGAACCGCCATCAGCTGGTTCGTTTGCTCCTAGTTATCAGGCTGGTTTAAAGGGCATTCTACAGTTCCTTAGCGATACCGGGTCGCCTTTTGCCATCAACCCGTACCCATTCTTTGCGTACCAGAGCGACCCGAGACCCGAAACGCTGGCGTTTTGTCTTTTCCAGCCTAACTCTGGACGGTTAGACTCCAACACTGGAATCAAGTACATGAACATGTTCGATGCTCAGGTAATAATATACTTGTAATATATAAACCCTCACGGACAGGTTATGTACTAATTAGGTGGACTTTTATATCTCACAATCCAGCTCAATATTTAAATTAATTGCATTAGTTTATTTTATTTGGTCTCAATCTCATGGTATGGTTCACTTACAATAATTTAATGTTGCACCGAGATCTTCAATTATTTATTGTGATTATTTAATAATTGTAAATCATGTGAAAAGTCTGTAGTTGAACGTTGGAAGGAACTTGCTCTCTTTCTTTCTCTACATTTCTTACTTAGAAAGAAATCAAATAATCTCATTATAGTAAGATAACAGAAACATTTGTTTCTTGCCACACACGTTCTACTGATCCAAATAGGGGGTTTTCCCTAGGTTGATGCAGTGCACTCTGCTTTAAAATCGATGGGATTCGACAAAGTGGAAGTGTTGGTGGCCGAAACAGGTTGGCCATCGACCGGTGACAGCAACGAGGTGGGTCCGAGTGTTGAGAATGCTAAAGCTTACAATGGAAATCTCATTGCTCACTTAAGGTCCATGGTTGGGACTCCGCTTATGCCCGGCAAATCCATCGACACTTACATTTTCGCTCTCTTTGACGAGAATCTCAAGCCTGGTCCTTCCTTTGAGCGATCTTTTGGCCTTTTCAAGCCTGATCTTTCCATGGCTTACGACATTGGACTCACTAAAACTACTAGTAGTCAGGTACTAAGATACCATAACCTATAGTTTCATTTGTGAAATATGTATTTTTTTTATATAACTGGGGGATCTTGGACAGACATCCACACTAATCCCCCGCAGCGTGTGAAAAGCCCGCTATTCTTGCTATTCAAGGCAACCATAGTTGAAATTGTAACGGGAATCCTTCAATTACTATATAGACCACCGTGAATTGCTTATTTTCGAGATAATTAACCGTTTCTAATGAATCTTTTTTTGTGATGATAGTAGACGTCACAATCTCCACAGTTGGGAAAAGCAACATCCATGGGATGGTGTGTGCCAAAGGAGGATGCGACTGAAGAGCAGTTGCAAGATAGTCTAGATTGGGTTTGTGGGCAGGGAATCGATTGTGGTCCAATAATGCCAGGAGGGGTTTGTTTCGAGCCTAACAATCTTGTCTCTCATACAGCATATGCCATGAATCTTTATTTCCAAAAATCTCCTGAAAACCCTACGGATTGCGATTTCTCCAAAACCGCGAGGATCACTTCCGAGAACCCGAGTAAGTTATTTTCCTCTTCATATTTCATATAAAATCATGAGTTGGTAAGTTTGCATTTGGTTGAAACAAATCTTATAACTAAGACACTGTGACACTCAATATCTTCTTTCTATGGTTCAAGAAAAAGCCATAATTTATAATCCGATATTCATGAGTTAATTAGATTCTTGAGTCTACATGTGATACATTTCAAGAACGAATAATTTAAAGCTATAATAATCCTATAATAGATCATGCCGAATCAAACCAAATACCACCTTTCCATGAGTGATAGGTTGATTAGCATGTTTGATTTTTGTGTATTTCATTAGTTATTCTTTATATATTTTGCTCGACAAACTAACAAACTTCTATAAGAATATGATACAAATTAGTTTGGTACTCTTTTTTCTAAAGTTTTCATGTAACTTGTCCACAATAATATATAGTGTGAATTAAGATGCTACACGGCCTCTCCAATTTCAAACTTAAAAATGTATTTCAAGACTATAAAAACAAGTCTCTTGCATTTTTTATCTAATCACACACTAATGTTGTTGGCTTTTTTGTTTAGGTTATAACAGTTGTGTCTACCCGAGAGCAGGAGATGGAACCATAAATGGAGAGACGAATAAATATGTGACTTCAGACAAATCAACGGAGAAGAACGGATCCAAATGCTCATGTTCTCTCTCATTGCCACTCTTTATCATCTTTATCTCTTTTTTCTTTAATTTTCCCAACTTGAGAATTATGTAGCAATTGTCTCATTTAGTCTCAGTTCCTACCATTTTATTCAATTCATCTAATCATTTTGTTCTCAAATTATTATAAATAATATTATTAAATAATCCATTAATGTTGTTTTTAATGGGGTCATCTCAAACTTTTCCATCAATGTTGTTCCCTCACAATCACCATCACCGTTCAACCTTTGGTGTCATGGGCAACCACCTCCTCTGAGATCTGAAGCACCCTTGCATCCACCTTTGCTCAACCAAGTCGCGCGTGGTCATGTTAGGCAGTAGCCCACCCAAATTAAGCAATGGACAGGCACCAAATCTATTGATGAATATGTTCGAGGTCACACCACCACACGTATGGATGAGTTAGCTCTTCTTGGGCAACCTTTTCAACATGAAGAAATATATGAGGCTATTCTTGAAGGCTTCCCAGAGGAGTACAAACCAGTCGTTGATCAGATTGAATGCAAAGACACACCACCGTCTATTCCTTACATTCATGGGCGTTTATGTAATCACGAAGCCAAACTTCTTTCTGTGACTCAAGAGGATACAACTTCTCCGTTCCCAGCCTCTGCTCATGTTGGTCAACAAAACAACAATTCCAACAACCAATCCAAACTCGCAGGAGATGCAATGATATGTTGTGTTTTTATCAGTTTTGAGTATTTAGTTTCTTTCCTAGATCATATCTTTTATAGAGTCAAAGTGTGTATTTAGAGTATTTTACTCCTTTATCAAGTCTCTACAGTTTTTAGGTTGCTTCAGAGGAAAACGAGTTGTTTTGGAATATAAACACACATTTGGAGATGCTGATTTGTTTAGATGTATCAGACGTTTGATCTCATATGGAGGACTTTCCACCGTTAGATCTTTATGACTATTTTAGAAACGCTTGATAAAGCTGTTAGCTTTATTTTCCAAGTGATACTAAGAAAATCTAACGGTGCATTCAAGAGTTATGTCCGAATTAGTGAAGACATGTCATTCTCGCAAGTATTTGAAACAGTTGTAGAGTTTGACACCAGAAACGCCAGATCAATCGGTCTACTTGTGGATTGATCCATCGAACCCCTCTGATAGACGAGAATCAGTTTGACGTGGGATCGAGCGGTCCATTCATACTAATCAAATCAATAGACCAAAACTTAAACCCGAATTAAACCAACATGTCATCACCTTTTTGTTGTTATGTTGTTCCATGGAATGGAACTCCTTTTACATCCAAATTGAATTTACTTCCAATCATATGCCAAATGATACAAATTTATGACCGTAGTCAATACATCAAGATAATGATTTAATTCATAATTCTATCTGTTGTTAATAGTAATAATTATATTGATCACATTATCTTCATTATTGTGCAATGTATTAATTTGTATTGTTTTACAATTTTTTTGGAAACAATGTGTTGACTGTACATTCCAATATAAGAATCGTTTAATATACTTTACTAAAGTAAACCTCTATAAATTAATAATGTTGGGACCATGATAATTTATTAATTTATAGTGATATTAATTTATCTATAAATGAATACTTATTAATTTATAGCGTAAATTAATACTTATTAATTTATAGAAAGTTTTGTTTGAATTGTGAAAACTTTTTTTTAAAATATGAGGTAAAGCAATGTGATCTAAATAAAATTAATGTTTTGAATGTTATAAATTTTATAGTTTTAGCCTTACATACTTAATATTTCGAAGAGAAAATAATTTATTTTGACAATGAATAACAACGATTATAGAATTCACATATACAAACGATATACATAAATTAAAATTCACAAAATTGACATCCATTGTTGTATTTTAAAAACATATACTACCATTAAAATAAAAAAGTATGCATATTCAAAATTAGAAAACTTAAAACAACTTTTGGCTATTTTTATGAAAAACACTAAAATTATTATTATTATTATATATATATATGTGAAAATTTACATGATTATTAATTTATGATATTATTAAGACTATATTTTGACATAGGGATTTTAAAAAACTTATTATCTTATTATCTTATCGAATTTGGTTAATTTTTATACTGTCCCAACTCGGGACCGGCCAAATTTATTAATTTATCGTGTTTATTAATTTATCGAGTATTAATTTATAGAAGTTCTACTAGTAAAACCTCTATAAATTAATAATGTTGGGACCATAATATTTTATTAATTTATAGTGATATTAATTTATAGCGTAAATTAATACTTATTAATTTATAGAAAGTTTTGTTTCAATTGTAAAAATTTTTTTAAAAAATACGAGGTAAAGCAATGTGATCTAAATAAAATTAATATTTTGGATGTTATAGATTTTATAGTTTTAGCCTTAATACTTAATATTCGAAGAGAAAATAATTTATTTTGACAATGAATAACAACGATTATAGAATTCACATATACAAACAATATACATAAATTCAAATTCACAAATATTGACATCCATTGTTGTATTTTAAAAATATATACGACTATCAAAATAAAAATTATGCATATTCAAAATTAGAAAACTTACAACAACTTTTGGCTATTTTTATGAAAAACACTAAAATTATATATATATATATATATATATATATATGTGCAAATTTACATGATTATTAATTTATGATATTTTTTGGGACTATATTTTGACATAGGGATTTCAAAAACTTATTATCTTATTATCTTATCGAATTTGGTTAATTTTTACACTAACCTGACACAGGACCGGCCAAATTTATTAATTTATCGTATTTATTAATTTATAGATGTTCTACTGTATATTATTTAATTTTAATAAATGATATTATTTTTTTGGGACATCATCTAGTAGTTTCAGAAAAGGTTAATATATACATGACATTCTATGAAAAATCCATCAAAATATTTTATTAGAATATTTAATTAATGATTGATACAATTTTTATATCTACTAACTTTATATAATCTATCAACTTTCAGTATCAAAAAATTCTACAAATATCCATCTACCAATAGACAATTAAGGAAAAAAAAGTAAGGAATGGTAATATTTTGAAATAGTCAAAATATTGAAATTGGTAATTTATTAAAAATATTCCAGATACTGGAAATGGTATGATGAGATATGTAAAAATGGAGGATTATATATATACACACACATTATGTATTTACAAATTACAAACAAGAACCACAATAAGGTCATTTGAAACATCCAAACCATGAAATCATCACATATACCTCTCATATGCATAGTCATGTTCTCTCTCTTCGTTCTACATGAGTGTACGTATAGTTTTTCATATATATCAAATGATCTCTTATTTATTTCCCATTCGTCAAATTTTGGTTTGTGTGTTTTAAATCAATGTGTAGGTAGAATGGAGGGTGGCGAGATACATAGATCAATGCTCAATATTACAATACCACCGTGTATCAAAACCTTTTGCAAGATATCATTTAAAAAGGATTGTTGGTGTTGTTTCGGACCAAGAGCTAAGGAAGAACGTTGTTGGAAAGAAGAAGATTATCCTAACGCCAAAGAGCTATGCTACGCTGGATGTATAATAGAATAATAATGTATGTTGCTTATTCAGATTCATGCTTTTCAAAAGTATTTTAATTATCTATATAATTTAACTTATGTTATCTCTCTTATGATGATGATACTTGATCGTCTACATGTGTGTCACATCATAATTTCCATTTAACTTTTACAATTAAAACATTCAATTTCTATAAATTTCTAATTGATATACGTATTAAATTATGATAAATTTTGGAAAGTCATCTTTCATATTCCAAAAAGAACAAATACATCAACTATATTTTATTCAAATGATATTATGTGTAATAATATTGGTCTTCTTCAAGTCATGGGAAGCTACTTTTTTTTCTTTTTCTTTTTTTACATTTCTGCTTACTTAATTATGGAATATATTGGTTATCGATGTTATATCATTGAATCATAGAGGGAGACATATCGTTTTTCGGGTTTAGCCTGGTATTTCTTTCAGGACGATGTGGATGGTTCTATAATAAAGAACAAGAATGTACGCATGGCCGGCTCAAGTTATATGTGGGCCCTTGGACAAATAAAAATGTTTAGGTTAATAAATACAAATTTTCTAGACTATTTAAGGATAAATAATATTTTTTGGGCCCCTAAACTTAACATTTTTCAAAACATAGGCCCTCTAATTAGTAAAAATTTTTGCTGAAAAACTATAGGCTCCTGGGCCCACGCCCCATTGCTTCCCTCTTAAGCCGGCACTGAATGTACGAAGAAGCTTCTCTCCATTACACGCAGAGTTGAAGCACTTATATAGGTGATGTCATATATTATTGAACACTAGAAAATGACAATATATCTCTTGCAACTTATTGATCCTAGTTGGTGTAGAAGATGACTACATGGCGGGATAGCCAGCATTTTCGACGTATTTAGATTAGTTCACAAGGATGAATGTTATTTTCTTCTATTTCTTATATTTCCTGAAAAATAAATTCTAACTCATGTATTCTAGTACATAGTATGTTAGATTGTGGAGGCAAGTTTCTTTTTAAAGAAAATTATAAATTATAAATTGTAAAGAAACTTGCCTCCACAATCTTTGCAAGTAAAATTGTTAGCAAAATTCAAAACCTCTCTACAAAATTTTAAATGACCACTTAGTTTCGTTTTTTTAATCTGATCACAAAGTTCGGATCTTTAACGTTTCTGTAGCAAAGATTTGATTCATTATTTATCAAAGAAGTTACTTCAATCGATGTAGAACATGTTTGACAGATTGAAATTGTTCTGCACTTCTGCTCCTATAATATGATTATGGACTATCATGAGACTTGTATGATCAATGCTCTAAACAAAACACAAGAACATTTAAGTAAGCTAAGAGATTATTCCATGAGATAAAAACTAAGATTTTTCTTGAAAAGTCAATAAATCTAAAGAATCTAACTTTTTTTTTTTCTCTAAATCGAAACTATGAAGTCATTTTAGGATTTTATCCAAAATTCCACTACAAGTGAAATGGAGCATTTTGTCATCCATTGGTTGTTTAACATCGTTGATTTGAGGGTTAAATTTGCATTAATTTGAATAATTGAGTATTGTTTATCACCACTTTTTTGTTGCATTTTCTTATGTGAAACAAATTCTCGAGGATTTTATTTTTGTACTATTTTTTTTTCACTATCAATACTACAGTTTTAACTTACTTTGAACTAATGATAAAGTTATTTTGTTGAAATAGAAAACCTATATTTTGATTCCCAAAACGAATACAATGCGTCAATTCATCAAAAGAATGCTATTATTAAATATAAAAGTAAACATCATAACAAGATGATTGGGTTTTTAAGAGGAGATCGCCTGAAAATGGTGCATAAGAAACATATTAAACATATTTGAGATAGGAAGGAATAATATTTGAAAAACTGATAGAATAATAACTAGGTTAATACTAAAATTTTAGGTCTTTTTCCATCCAATACAAGGAAATTCTACCTTTATAATTTTACTAAATAATGCTTGCTTCAACAATATTTATCAGCATCAATCAAACATTTTACTGATGCAACAAAGTATTGTTACACAGTCCCATAGTGTTTTGCTAACTTCAGATGCGATAAGGATTTATGATATGGGAGAGACTTTGAAGTTACAAAGACAACCACACATTTTGTAAGAACCGAAGAAAATAAACAAACTATTTGAATCGGTGGATCATAGTCATAGTACGATTTTGACCTGAAAAGCAGGTAGGTCAAACTCATTCCGTACCGGGTTAAAAAAAATTCGACCTACAAAAAACCACACCTTGCAAAATCTGCAAGAGTAGATACTAGATAGTATGCCCACATCCGCCCCGTTTGAGTTCTCAGGATCAGTGGATAACCCGAGACATTTTAATAAATCACTTTTATAATTTATCAATATATTTAAAGTTATAAATAACTAATATTAATATAAAATAATTTTAAACACAAATACACTCATTCTTTAAAAAAAACTTAAATATTGATAATTAATGTATATATTATAAAATATTTTAAGATTTTAAAACTATACATTAAATAAATTAAATATATGATCTCAATATTTTCGTTTTAATTAGATAATACCAACTTCTCTCTTTGAATTGGAATATTAGATAATAACAACATTTTCTGTATATATTAAAGAAACACATTTAGAGTTATGGGTGACAAAAGTACATGACCTCACATTGTACTTATTTTTCAGTTACTAACTTTAACAACTTTGACTGAATCATTTCCTTGGACATTTGGTAGTAATTTCAAGAGGTTTGGTCACAAAACAGAGAGAGAGATAGAGCAATAGGAAGAGAGTGTGAAAGGAGACACGAGAGTAAAGCTTTGTGGGTGAGCTTGAATAAGAGAGATGGCTAGGAACGCTGATTATCTTCGGTGCAAAGAAGAACGCAAGCACGAAAGCTTCTTCAAGGTTGTTCAGAGTATAAATGTTTCTTCTGAAAACATGGTAACAATATTCTAAACTCTTCTCCTTCTTAAATTTGTTAGCCTAGTTTGGAAAGATTGTAACTTTCGGTTCTTTGTAACAATAGGTTTTGTCTTAAGCTTTGATCTTGTTATTTTAGTTTGGAAATGTTGAAACTTTCCGTTAATTGTCTTTATGGGTATCAGAAAAAAAAACACACAGATTAATTTGATTGTCTTGTTTCTCCTAGATGAGAACTGTCCTCTGTTATTTTTCATTGTCTTGTTGCACATGATGGGACTAATTTGAAATTGTGGGCCAAATACTTGATGAGATATGTAAAAAGATCACTGATTGTTAATTCCTTGTAGTTGAAGAAACATTCTTTAGTTCAACCATTCCTTGTTTATTTAAATTTTAGTCTTCTTATATTTGTCTCTTCATTTAATTTGCATAATCAAAGAGAGCACTTCCTCATGACTTTGTGAGAAACTTCTCCGATAAAGAGCTCTCACGTAAGATGAAGATAAGGGCGCAATGGGGAAGCTCTTGGGAAGTAGGAATCTCTAAAAACCCGAGATTTTACTTCATGGAGAAGCCCGGCTGGGAGAAGTTTGTTAGGGACAATGCTTTGGGAAACAGTGAGTTTATAACCTTCACTCACAAAGGAAAGATGCAGTTTACTGTGAACATCTTTAAGCAAGATGGGAAAGAAATGATGCAACCTCCAAAATCCAGAGCCTTCTTGGCTTCTTCAAGTAAGATTTGCTTTTCTGATTATGAAACAGTGAACAGATGATAGAGACATTGATTCTTTACTATTGGTGATGAAACAGGTCGTATCAAAACAGAACAAGAGGAAGATGACATGAAGGAAGAGGTAGTGGTATCTTCTAACCATGGCCCGACAACCGCAGCTGAATCTTATGGAAGAAAGCTCAACCTTGGGAAGAAGGCAGCTAAGGAATCCCAAAATTCTAAAAGAACCGAGAAAGTGGTTAAAGCACGAAGAGATTACGCAGGTGCCTCTTCATCTACTGCTGCAGAATTCACCATCTTATTCAAGCAAGGATATCTCATATTCCTGGTAAGATAAGACAAACCAAGACACTCTAAACAAAATCTCTTTATTGAGCAATGACTTTTTAATATAAAAATCGATATGTGAATCGAACTTTTGTTTGAGTGTTCAGAGGATCCCAAATTCTGTTGCTAAGGATCATATGGCAGATGAGAAAAAAATATTCAAGATCCATCACCCAAATGGGAAGAAATCATGGAATGTGGTTTATCTAGTGAGGTTTGGAGCTTTCTCTGGTGGATGGCGACGTTTGGTTAAAGAGTATCCCCTTGCTGTTGGGGATACCTGCAAATTTTCATTCATCAAACCAGATGAGCTACTTCTAGTTGTCTCCAAACCCTAATGATAATGTATGTGAGGGTGTCTTGGAGAAGAAGTTACTGAGTAAAACAACTTTCTGTTTATTGGTGTTGTCTTAAGTTTTATGTTACGATTATATTGATTTTGCACTAACTGGTGCTAGCTGGAGGCCCACTTAGACGTTAAATCAGCCCATTTTTGTGTTTCTTAACCGACTACAATCGGACAAATAAATTCACAAAAGCTAGGTCTCTTTAGTATAGCTACTGGCTAGGTTTTCTCTTTAACAAATATCTTTCTTCGTGAGAACGGAAATCATGAATTCATATTCCTTAACGAATGATCTCATCTTGGAGATATTGTGGAGATTGCCTGCAGAGTCAGTCGTGAGGTTTTGTTGCGTGTCAAAGCAATGGGCATCAATGTTTGTTACTCCATATTTCAAGGAGTTGTGCCTCAGCAGGTCCACGGCTAATCCGCGCCTCTTATTCGCCCTCGCAGAATCCGGTGGTGCGTGGAGCTTCTTCTCGTCGCCTCAGCTTGAGAATCCATATGAGAAATCGTCGTCAACTCTTGTAGCACACGCCAAGTTTCATGTGAAGTTCTCTCCAGACAATCTACAGATTGATCATTGCTATGACCTAAGATATTTTTCAATTGGCTACGCCTCTGGCTTGATCTATATCTATGGTGATCGATACCAGGCTAGACCTGTGATATGTAACCCCATCACAGGAGGGTATGCGATCTTACCTTATCGGTATACTTACAGAAAGGCGTATAGCTTTTTCGGGTTTGACCCGATTGACAAGCAATACAAGGTATTGTCCATGGCTTATCCATTTGGTCCTGGTCGTCATAAAATTCTTACATTTGGAGATGGAGATATGACGTGGAGAAAGATAAAATGTACCTTACCACATGAAAGTAGGAGTGAAGGGATATGCATCAATGGTGTTTTGTATTACTTAGGTTACACGTCTCATGTTCATTATGTAACGTCTCGTTATGTGATAGTTTGCTTTCATCTTAGGTCTGAAAAATTCACCTTTATTAACGTAGAAAGGTTTTGTCGATTAATCAACTATAAGGGAAGTTTAGGTGTGATCTACTGGGAGGATGATGTCGACATTTATGAGCGTTGTTCTGGGACGCTAATGATTGTCGACACTTATTTGGAGAAGAATCTCGACGCTGATGCCAATAATGAGTTGCGTGTGTGGGTTCTAGCGGATATTGAGAAACAGAAATGGTCGAAATATGCCTACACTTGGATAGATGAAAAATTCTTCCGTCGTCGCGTTACCATCGTTGGAGTGACCGCTACAGGTGAAATAGTGTTTTCTATGCGCAAGTATACACCTAAAGAGCCGTTTTATGTTTTCTACTTCAACCTCGGAAGGAACACTCTCCAACGTGTTGAAATACAAGGTTTTGGTGAAGCGGTTACGAAAACTTGTAGCGTTTGCACCTTTGTAAACCACGTAGAGGATCATAATGTTAACGATTTAAAACAACTCAAGTCAGTCCATCCTCCATTGGTGGAGCCAGAATATGCAGAATCAGATTCAGAATCAGACTGAGAAGAAGATAGGGATGATCATTGGAGCTAGGTGAGAGCAATGCTTTTGTCTATGCTTTTTGTTTTCTTTTCTTTTTTTTAAAAAATCTTTTTTTATGCGTTTATTCTCTTTTGATATGTACCTTTTTATTTTTACTATTTTAATAAATCGTTTTATTTATAAAAAAAAAAACAAAGCGGAGAATATGAAAAGAATGGTTTTTGTTATGCCAAAACATTTTTGTTGTGAGATTTGAAACTTTGTATTTGAAGACTTGATGGGATGTGTAAAACGTTAACTTTGTTTGCTTAGTTTGGAAATGTTGAAACTTTTGGTCCTCTGTAACGTTGAATCTTGTTAGCTGTGTGTTTGAAGGTTTAATCTTTTCGCCAATTATCTTTATTGATTCTCTCTGGTTAACGAACATTATTCTCTTTTTGTGATTTCAAGAACATTATCTCTGCTTTATATTTCACCTTCAATGGTTTCTTGGCCTCTAAGGAATAACCGGGATTCCATCGATAAATGCTGTGCGGTTTTTAATTCAAAACATCAACTGAGCTTTGTCCGTCCGCATCGATACAATAATATGTCTCAATGTTCCCTTTCTGCTTCAAGTAGCTTGCTTATCAATATCTGGCTCGTAAACTCCTTGCTGAGAGTCCAATAACTGCAAGAAAGTTTCATCGAGCAAATAAAACGACACCAAGTGTCTTTTGTGTGTGATGGGACTAATTTCCATGATGACACTTTGGACTAAATACTTAAATGGGATTTATACAATAATGTTCACTGATTTTTCACTGTAATTGAAGAAAACATTCCTTCAGTTCTACCAATTCCGGTTGATGCAGCCATGTTTCTCATCCCTTATAAGCAAAAGAAATCTCCAAAGCATCCCCATTTCCTTCAGCACCTCACAAGGAAGGTGTGAGCTAGTCCGACAAAATGCCACTTAGAAAGATCTAACGGATTCTAGCAATATATCAGCACCTCCGATTTGAATTTCATGGTTGCCTTTAGGTTAAATGAAAGAAAAACGTGTTGGGGATACTTGCAAATTCACACTCATCAAACCAAACGTGATGCTTCTCGTCGTTGTCTACAAATCCTAAGAGGAGACTCACTGTCACTGATGATGATGTATGTGAGGGATGTCTTGGGGAAGAAGCTACTGAGTAACTTAGTGTTTAAGTTGGTATTGAACTTTCTTTTCTTATCTGGTTGATATCTGCAAATCTGTTTGAAATCCTTTAGATTTCATTTCTTGGATGGTGGCTAAAGAAGAGCCAATAGCTGGCGGCCGACTTGGACGTTGGTCAGTACTCTCTGCTGTTTTGATTTTCTGCGCCAATTAATGTTCTGGTCTTGGACCGGAAACCAAAGTTTTGCTCTGACTAATTCACAAAGTCCATGAAAAAATGCTCATCTCTCAGATGAATCATGCAAATTTTATACTTTGGTCCACAAATATTGTCCCAACTGATTTTGTTTCTAAGCTAATGATTGTCTGGTTTCTGCTTCAGATTTTCCGTTCAATCTAAACTCTGTGGAAAGGTTTCCCAAAGGATCCAAAATATGCCACAAGCAAGGTGAGTTGATGGATTTGTTTGGACAGAACATACACACCACATATGTATTTCATTGGAACCTCCTACGACTGGAATGCTCACAAGGACATAGGTTTGTTTATGTCTTTGTTTTTTCAAATGAGCTTATGAATACACGAAACATTAGTATTTGATATTTTTCTTGTAAACCTTGGTCATTTCTTTAAGGTCCAAGTGACTTTCTCTCAACATGAAAGCCTAAGTTGCCATGGAATAAATTCACACGTTTCTTTCTTCAACGCCAAGACTCTTTTGTTTTATTTTTTTGCAGAAGGAATCATCTTCTTGCAGTCTCTATATAAATTGTGGGATCAATGAGTTTCTTAAAACTTAGGCTGAAGAAAAGATGACTGAAGAAGATCCAATTGCTGGTGGCCCACTTGGACGTTAAATTAGCCCAATTTTATTTGTCTTTATTTCTCTTAGGTCTTTTGTTAATTGGTTTCTCTAGGTCTTACTTAATAGACAAGTTTTAACATATTTCTTTCTTCCTTTGATCTGCAATCATGAATTCAAGTTCCATAACGAATGATCTCATCCTGGAGATATTGTCGAGATTGCCTTTAAAGACAGTCGCGAGGTTTCACTGCGTGTCAAAGCGATGGGCATCAATTTTTGGTAGTCCATATTTCAAGGAGTTGTTCCTGACCAGGTCCTCGGCTAAGCCGCGCCTCTTATTCGCCATCGCAGAAAAAGGCAACGAAATAGAAGAAGAATGTGTGTGGAGCTTCTTCTCGTCGCCCCAGCTTGAGAAATCCTCGTCGACTCTTGTAGCTTCCGCAGAATTTTATCAGAAGTTCAATCCAGACAGTCTACTGATCTGTCATTATGATGACATCAAATATTTTTCAATTGGCTACGCCTCTGGTTTGATCTATTTATATGGTAATCGAGTCCAGGCTAGACCTGTGATATGTGACCCCATCACAGGACGGTATGCGATCTTACCTTATCGGTATACCTACAGAAAGGCGTATAGCTTTTTCGGGTTTGACCCGATTGACAAGCAATACAAGGCATTGTCCATGATTTATCCATCTGGTCCTGGTCGTAGTAAAATTCTTACATTTGGAGATGGAGATATGAGGTGGAGTAAGATAAAATATCCCGTACGACATGATATTTACAGTGAAGGGATATGCATCAATGGGGTTCTGTATTACTTAGGTGACGCGTACGGTTGGGATAACCCTCATGATGTACCGCCTGGTAATGTGATAGTTTGCTTTGATCTTAGGTCTGAAAATGTCACCTATATTCGCGTAGAAAGTTTTTGTCAATTGATAAACTATAAGGGAAAATTAGCTGTGACTTATTGGGAGAATGATGTCTACACTAATACCATTAATGAGTTGCATGTGTGGGTTTTAGAGGATGGCGAGAAACATGAATGGTCGAAATATGCCTACATTTTAAGCGATGATAAATTCCTCCGTTCTCAGGTTTCCGTGGCTGGAATGACTGCTTCGGGTGAAATAGTGTTTTCGATGCGCAAGTATATATCTAAACAACCGTTTTATGTTTTCTACTTCAATCCCGAAAGGAACAATCTCCGACGTGTTGAAATCCAAGGTTTTGGTGAAGCGTTTAAGAAAACTTGTAGCGTTTGCACCTTCGTAAACCACGTAGAGGATCTCAATGTTAACGATTTAAAACAACTCAAGTCAGTCCATCCTCCATTGGTGGAGCCAGAATATGTAGAATCAGATTCAGAATCAGACTGAGAAGGGACAAGGAGAAGAAGATAGGGATGATTATTGGAGTTAGGTGAAAGCAATGGGCATGTCATTTTGTGCTCTTATCTATGCGTTTTTTTTTTTAAATCAACATTATCTATTGTACTGTTTTTTTTTTCTCTCTTGAACGAGCTTTATACATCTATCCTTCATTTTGTTTGGTCTCAAGAACAAGGTTTTGCAGTTTCTCTTAGT